TTTTAAGTATTTTTTTGCAAAAAATCACCTCAGATAACAAAACAATTTAGCTTAAAAAATTTGCATAGAAATATTTAAAAAAAATGATCAACGGAATCATTCTTTTCTTAAACAAATCTTTGAAAAAACAGCATAAAAAATGTCATTATGATTCCCATGAAAAATTTTTTGTATATTTTTATATAAATTTTTTAAGCTTAGCATGATTTGTCATCTCAGGAGATTTTTTCAAAAAAAAACCTTTTTGAAAGTTTTTATTTATAAAAAACTCCAGTTTGGAAGGTATTTTTAAATCGGTCCAGCTCACGTAAATCTTAACATTTTGCTGAAATGTATTATTATTATATTAGAAGATAACATTAGAAATATAATATTATAACATTTTTAAATAAAATGTTCACGCATTCATATAAAAGGTAAATTTGTATTTGTTAATGTTTATGATTCTGACATAAAATAAACTGATAATAATAACATACAGGTATGTTCTGCAAATGATTTCAAATCGGCGCGATTTACAAAATCTATTTCTGAGGATTTATAACAAAAGAGTGAAACATTTGGCAGTAAATCGACGGCTATAACGTAAAGGATATGTTTTTAGCAGTTTCCATTTGATACATTTAATAATTTGATTTCAAATATACCTACAACAATAATTTGCAAATCGCACCGATTTGAAATCATTTGCAGAACATACCTGATAATAATAGATTGGCTCTAACGTAATTTGTTAGTTTTCAGCCGAGCTTCTCCTCCGATTCGTGGCGTGCGCCTTGGTGTTGTCACACAAAGGGGAGGGAAGGACCTACAGTTTTACGCTGACTCGGAACGGCGAATATATTTATGAGAAGCGGTTTTTCATGTCAGAAATATACTCGGAGGCTTTCTTCGACCAGGGTTTCGGAATTGTAGCTTTTATACGGTGCTAAAAGCTGATGCATCTCCATATAAAGAGGCCATTTAGAAGGTGCCCCACCCGATGGTCCGATTTCTTTCTTCTCCTTCCTGCATTGAAACATCGTGTGATAAAAAAATCTTATTTAAATAATGGAGTCAAGTCTCACCTACATGAGGTTTTTTGTTGGTGATTCCCTCAAAATAGGCTCAGCGCGTCCAGCAAAATAACCCTAGGAGAATTGTGGAAATATATGTACGTATGTAGTCTGCGTCGTGCCCTTGGATGAAATTTTTTTTGATAGTTGCCCAACCAGTCCGGCGAATTGATGCTGATGTCATGAAGCACCGGCCACCACACACTGCAAGCTAGCTAGTCGCACATGGTGTTAATGCTAGTGATTTTCTTTTTTTT